AGTTGTATTCGATTATTGATCTAACAATTGAACAATATATGATTTTCAAGGACGAGAGAAGTAATTCCTCTGCAGATCCAAGAGTGGATCCTAACATTTTTAGTGCTCTATAAGTAAATTTTTGGGTCAAGAGTGATTCCTAAATCTTTGATTGTATTTGTTGTTTCCAGTTCTGATTGCTTGATATTATAAGGACTATTTATGGGATTTTTGTTTCGGAAAAAAGTAAATTCATGACATTTCTCTATATTCAATTGCAGCGTACAAATTTAGATAAATCGTACTGTAATAATTCGGTATCAGATGAGTCATGAATAACTTAATATATCTTCAGATCATCAGCAAACGGAAGAAATTCACTATAGAGAGAGTAGATGAGCAAGCTTGGTCCTAGCCCACTTCAAGGTCGTGCAGCATCGATTACGTCACGTTTCTCTCTTCCACCCACTAAAGTATCTCTCTGAAATACTTACCAACGACGCACGACCTTGAAGTGGGCTAGAACCAACCTTGCTTATCTACTAGAGAAAAACACCATCCAAGTCATTTACAAATCGGTTGAAAAAGTAATGGTTCTGAATGAGATCCCTGAGGTGCACCAGATGGAACTGCGACTGAGGAAGATATTGAGTTACCATATTTTACATAGTAAACTCTGCAGACAAGATAATTTTCAATTCATTTCAACCAGATAATGCTCTTTGAGTTTGGATTTTGTAGCATGAGGAAGGGGGTGTTTGTTACGGTTTCATGTCTTGTATTCACGGTTGAGAATCTCAGCTTTATGTTTTTGAAAGTAGTACCTCATATTCACACAAAAGGTAGAATAACTGCCTGATGTCCATGATTTTCATTTCTTTTTAGAGGCTATTAGAATTATATCTTTTTTCTGTAGGATTCATTTCAACAATCGTCTCTGTATTTTCTCTAACCGATTGTGATAGGTTCCCGTAGCGGAATTGACTTTCTACGAGAGCCAAGTAGATTACTTTGATTTTTTCGATGGGTAAGTAAGTGTTTAAGTATTTGAATTTATATAGAATGGTTTTGTGCTCTGGTCACATATCTTATATGATAATCCCATTCAAGATGTGTGTCTAGAAATATTCCCAGGTATTTAGTTTACACTAGAGTTTATTTGAATGCCTCTATAATCAAGTTTTGAATTATTGCTTGCTTTATATATAACAAGCGTTCTAACGTTTACGATCCACAGATTTGTTTTCGCCTACCAGAATTGTGGTGTCTTTTAATATTGTTGTAACATTTCAATATAAAATATTTACATGATGATAAATAAGTATGCTGATTAGGATAGTACTAGGTATAAGCAAAAAATATGATGTGTTATCAGTTGAATCGGATTAATCTTCTTCACTCATCAACATAACATCAAGTGGTGCCAAGCCGAGATCATCCACAGGGAGGAACACTGGTTCAAGGGAAAGTTCAAAGAAGCTGCATAATTGTTGTCCAACGACGAATTCAGCCAAGCTAGCGTAGAGATTCGCAACATATGGAAACATGTAATAAAACGGAAAACGGTCACCTCCCGCTAAAACGGTGGAGCGGAGAGAGGGAAGAGGTGACTAACAATCGAAACGTCGTGAAGTAACTTGATTTCGAATCATAGTAGAATAATATTAGACAATGGATGTCCGAACTAATGGAATTCAAAAATATTTCGTTTCTGGGCCACTTTGTCGACTACCTATTCCTTGAAATGAACAGATAATAATAAGGAAAAGAAATACATTTATTCATTTGTTAAAGCGATATATAATATGTTGTAACACGTGGTAATACGCAGATGCACCTACGTTATTAGAGTAGTCATAAGTTCAGATTCAATTTACATTGAACAACACATTTAAAATAATTAGATATTGACATTTATGTACCTTTAAAATAAAAATGTAAAAATGTTTCTACTCTGCAGAAACTCTTCCACAGAATAAAACGCTCTTATCGAAGATGTACGCTGTCTGTTCAAAACATAAGACTAATTTTTTCAAAAAATATTTATTAATTCATAAAATTACATTTTGCACTCTTCAAAATACTAGTAGTAATAATTCTTTTGTATTGATTTTTGCTCAATATCAACTGTACGAAAATTTCAATCAATCATGTTCAAAGTCCTTCCCCTTCAAATTCCAATCCAGTAGATTTTTATACCAGCTTTAACGTTTCCGTTCGTTCGTAAATAATAATTTCATTGTACTAAGGGCTTACGATAGTAGAAAATCTGTCATGGAGGTCACCATATTTTTTTACAAATGGTATCTATGTAAAAAGGCATGGTGGTCCCCGTGACTTATGTTCTCCTACCGTTCCTCTTAAATAGTTTACTACAATGTAATATATCAAAAACCTTAGCCACAACAACGCGTGGCCGGATCTGCTAGTACAACTATAAAACAACTAGAAAAGTCTTTCGAGATTTGTTTCATAAAACAATACTACATTGAAAGTTTAAAATAAATATTTAATTTTTCACTTTTTAACCGTCTCAATTATGTACGCCTATGCAATGAATTGGTACTCGGAAATTATTTATTGCCCGCTGCTCAAGGAGAATACCTCACAATATAATTTTTAGTTATACTAAAACCAATACTTAGTTATACTAAGACCAATAATGATTGAGAGTAGAAGTAAGCCCAGTTGACAGCAAATCGGGGGCGTGCTTATTAATTTTTGAGAGGGTTAAGNTACGCTGTATGTTCAAAAAATGAGGTCAATTTGAATTTTTCTCAAAAAATATTTATTAATTCATAAAATTACATTTTGCCCTCTTCAAAATACTAGTAGTAATAATTCTTTTGTATTGATTTTTGCTCAATATCAACTGTACGAAAATTTCAATCAATCATGTTCAAAGTCCTTCCCCTTCAAATCCCAATCCAGTAGATTTTTATACCAGCTTTAACGTTTCCGTTCGTTCGTAAATAATAATTTCATTGTACTAAGGGCTTACGATAGTAGAAAATCTATCATGGAGGTCGCCATATTTTTTACAAATGGTATCTATGTAAAAAGGCATGGTGGTCCCCGTGATTCATGTTCTCCTACCGTTCCTCTTAAATAGTTTATTACAATGTAATATAACAGAAACCTTAGCCACAACAACGCGTGGCCGGATCTGCTAGTACAACTATAAAACAACTAGAATAGTCTTTCGAGATTTGTTTCATAAAATAATACAACATTGAAAGTTTAAAATATTGCCCGCTGCTCAAGGAGAATACCTCACAATATAATTTTTAGTTACTGTTATCAAATACACAATCTGAAGTGATGTAGAACTAGTGATGCACCCAGTTATATTTGCAAATCATCGAGTGGTACTTGAAATAAAACGATAATAATTATACAACAAACAAATTATATCAATGATTGGATATGTTCAAACGGTTCAGGTGTTTTTAGAGACAGAGGGCCTGTTAAATTGCCCGATCCGAATCCAATAATTTGAGAAATGAGTGTCAGCAACCCAACCAAATTCCTTTGCTAAAAACATACAGTAGAATGCCAATTAGTGACCTTGGTGATGGTCAAAAATTTAATAGATTCAAGGAAAGTATAGTCGAAGTAACCTGTATTGTGAATAGTTAAAGCTATCGGCATCTCAAAGGCCAAAAAAACCAATACAGAGAAATAATGCCGCTGCCAACTTGTCCACGTGGACTGAAGAATTGAAGGTTCGTATTGGATAATTTTTACTAACCGAGTTTTATGATTGGCTGAAGAGTCATAAAATTAAATTNTGATTTTCACTGATGATGTTATGCTTATTTATCAAGCCAGGTTGTCGTTTTTTAACTAGTTTTTCAATGATTTTTGTGATGGTTAGTATGAGAGATATAGGGCGGAGATTAGAGGGATCATCAGAATCTCTGCCCTTATGCAGAGGAATGACCACAGAGGTTTTTTAAAAAAAGGGGAATATGCCTGTTTGAAAAATAGGAGGAAGGTTTTGTATTATTTTGATTGAAATGTCATCGTAGCCTGCAGTATTTTTGTTTTCAATATCCATCATAATTTCAATTAATTCATTAATGTTGGTGTCCCTTTAAAAGTGTACAATTTGGGCCGCTCTGTACACCTTCTTTTCTTATGTTAATCGATTTATTCTCAAACTCAGGTACCTACAAACGTTCAACATAAATTGGGTAGAAAAAATAAGGAACTTTGAATATTTAGATTTTAGATCAAGCCTGAAGAAGTTCTTGTATAGCGAAACACGTAATGCGTTTTTGTAAAACTGTTTAGTGAGAATCTCACAATGAAGTGTTTCTTGAATATTTCACAAAGTAAAAACAGCATGTTCTGAATAGAAATTAAAAAATCGGATGTGAATAAACTGGAGTTTCAGAAGTACTTCAATTATATGCGAATATATATATTCGCAACGAAGTGTATCTGGTCTTTAAGGTGTCAAAAGCCTATAGTAATTTGTTTCTATGTGACACAATATTTATAGCGAGAAAAAATTGCACTGAAAGTTCAACAGGCATTTTTGAAATTGCCACTTTTATATGTTCCATGTGAATGTCTTTGCTAAATTCAAGGTTATCTGCTGCTGAATAAATGAATCACAAATCAGTCACATGGTCATTATTGTCAAGAACACCAGATCAAGAATAATCAAGTCCTTATTCAAATTATTTTCACAAATCAGTTCATTGAAAATTATACAAAAAATATTACTTATATCTTAAATCAAGTCAACCTTCAAATGGAATAACAATTTTCTGTAAATATGTTGAGGTTATGTGGACATTTTCCACAAATGGGTTGACTAATTAAATTTATTATTATGAACCCAAATTCTGAAATCATTCATATCTGAAAACTCGAAACCCCAGCCTCTAATAACTCAAACAAATTTCCTTTCAATATAGATATCATCTCAAAATATAATAGTAAAGTACGTTTTCGAGCTGAAAGGAAGTGGCTGACCACTTATCTTTTGCTTGCATTCACACAGATGTACAAAAGAAATGTTCACTTAATCGGATACGGATAAAAATAATTCAATACATTCTCAATTACACTACTGATAACTGATACTGATAAAGGGAACCAATTATTTGAAAAATTCAAAAATATACATTTTATAAAAGTAAATAATTTTCAGAGCAAATGAACAATTAAAATTTTCATCAAATTATTTGTTACCAGCTAGCTCATCTGATACATGTTGTCCTTCAACAAATATGGGGTTGTTGAAGTTATATTTCTACAAATGAAGCATATGTCTATTACAAAAATAAAAATTTTATCTATCAAATATATTCTTATTATTTTTTAACAACCTAAAAGGAAAGGAAAATTGGTAAAGTAAAATGTTCATCTCCATTCTTCAACATTGTTTCAATTTGCCTTTGAGAAGGGAAGGTTATAATTAATTAATATCATCAGATAATTTGTAACCCTTCACTTTATATAATGAATTGTCATTTGAATTACTATGAAAATGTAAATGAAACTGTCAAGTTCAAAGAATAAAAACAATCAATTTTGAGTAAAGTTCACCCATTATCAACAAAAATAAAATAAATGATTTGTCAGCATACCAATATAATGAGAGATTCTATCAAACATTTTATGAAAAAACAAATTTTTCTGGGGAATTTAAGGAATCCAATGAACTTAAATACTAAAAACTCGTTGAAACTTCAATCTATTGAATTTTGCCAGTAGTTTGATAGGAAAATAACAGGTAAACAATGCAAGAATCGAAATATAAATGGAATGGTAAAAATAACTCTTAATTATAGAGAGCCAAATAATTGTTTATTTTTCACTCCCAAGTTCATGTACTTTCGCAGTAGTTACATAATTGTTTACAAGTTAGTGAGTAAATAGGAATAATGTAAATACATACCCCCCTGCCACTAAATGGATTATGGTGTCTCTCTGACTCTGGCTCATGTCATTAAATCACAGAAATTTAAACAAAAAAAATCAAAATTTATTACGTTCTTTGCAACTATTTACACAGCACTCACCAATACAGAAAACAGATGTATGTAATTACGGTTTGCAAGAAACTGTTATTGAATACATTTTTTGCGATATTTCGAAATTAAGGTTTTACCATATATTTTGCAAATAAAGTGCATATGACTACGTGACAGTTTCCTCGTAATGAACTCCACGACTCATTCTTGAATATAACTAAAATAGAGGCTATAGTCCCTTATAATTTAACCAAACAAGATTATCCCCCCTCTGGGCGATACCATGCTTCGATCACGTGGTGTTGTTTTGTTGTTGACCGGGTATTTTCGTCCAAATTTTGAAAATCTCATATTTTTCTGTAAATTCAATCAAACCATCCTAGAATCATTGGTGAATTATGACTATTAAAAATTTTTTCACGAACTTGCCAAATAGAGGATACCACAATCTAAAATCGATCAAATGCGCACTTTCAATTTACATAACAAATCATTTGAAAGTTGATTAATTTACTAGCACTGTCAACTAACTGCTCTATCTTTGGCTAGCTACTGACGATTTTCGGAACGAAAATATTCGTCCTTGATTGATCTCAACGCGTAAATAAAACGTGAGATGATAAAATGCAAATGCATACATTTGTACAACAAAAACAAATCAAACAATCAGGAGTTTGCGCACTGGGTATCGTTAATTATACTTCTGGAATGCCATGCCTTTCTGCTGACTTTTCTCCAAAAGTACGTTCGGTAATTCTTTTTTAGAAAGAATGATGCGTGTTTCAGTTGCTTCATAAATATTTTTAAATGATTATATATCAATTGAAAACAATGCATTATTTCATTGTCATTTTCACGAAAGCGAAAGCTTCAGAAATCTATAATATTATTTTTCCACATCTATTCTGATATTCAATTAAGTGCAGTGTACCTACTGAAATTCCCAATAAAAATTTGATATAGGGAACCAAGTTCCCTATACAGTACAGTACAGTAGTTTCAAATACATTTAAAACTACTGTAGATCTTCTTGAGAAGATACAATATTTTCAAAAAAGTTTTGATAATTTCATATTAATGTATGCTGAGTTTGTCATGAAGGAAGCTGCTGTCTCTAGAAGCTATTTTGGGCCATACGGAACGAGTTTCTATTGACTGAAACATTTGTCATAGTGACATTTTTCTAGGTTATGTTATAATTCTTGAATTTTTATGCAGTGGATGTATATTATGATGAGATTAATATCCATTTTACTAGTCAATTAATAGTTTCAAATCGCAATGGTTGAATTCATACAGTTCATTGATTTGGTTATAACACCAATCAAGGAAATAATTCAACCCTTCAATATCACTGAGTATACCTTGAAAAAATTCACACCCCCAAACATTAAGGATGTTTTAATAATATAAATCGTAATAGTCCAAATACTTGGCGTATTCATGCATTTTAAATACTTTCGAATGCCTCAAAATAAGGCCATTCATTGTTATCTGCTAATGAGCATATGGATTCTTTTGATAGTGATAGGAGTATATAAGTTTTGGGAACCCAAACAACAAGTATTAGAAAGTTCCTCGACTCCAACGGAATCACTGAACCACTTGGCGGTAGACACGAAAACGAAAAAGATATTCAAAATTTGCAATTTTCCCAATGATATATCGTTAGGAGATGAAGGCAAGGTTTTTCCGTATTATCATTAGTGTTAACACGACAATAAGTTACCATTTTAATTAAAATATTTTAGGGATACTTGATGAGAAGAAGTGGCTTTTGAAGGGCTTATTGATTTTGTTGAGGCATGGAGACAGAGGTCCCCTTCAGCATTTGAAAAAAATTTCATCAATCAACTGTGGAACTGACAATACTGAATTACTGACTTCTTACAAGGTAAAGTTGTGATTCTGGGATATCGTTTTTCAGAAAAAAAGATACAGTAACTTGTAGACATGAATTCAATTGAGTACAAAAATAAACAAAGATCTTACAACCATAAAGAGGTCGACAGAGGAAACTCCCTACTCCTAAACCCAGTAAAAAGCCAAAATATTCTTATTGGTTGATCCTTCAACCACCACCTTGATGAGTTCCCTGTATGTATTGGCAACAAATTCATTCCTTGTCACTGAAGCTAAATGTTTTGGTTGTTATTTTTGACTAATAGCTGAAATTCTTCAAATAAATAGGTTTCATCGCAAAGAGAACCTACCTAAGCCTTAAAACGATTCCCCTTCAAGCAGGATCTTGACATTACCACTAGTAAATTCTTTGCAATTCTCATCTCCTTTCGCATACTAACTATGCTGACATAGTGTATGGACCTTGTTTATCACAGGAAGGGCATGCAAGATTGCAAAAATTGCAAGATCAATGCATCCGTTTTATAAAAGTGGTTCCTCCTCAAGCCCATATCAACCCCCATATTAGCGATATGCACCTTTTGATATTGGATGAAAAACGTTTTGTTCACTAAACTTGTTTTGTCAACAAAATCTTGGTTACTGGACTACCAAGTACCTTGCCACAAAAATAGTTCACAACAGATCATTGAGGAACATAGATAATAGATTTTTTAATCCTGTCCATCGTTTTTCATTTTTCGAGGAATCCTTTTCTTATTTAGTACCTTATCTACTAAATGATATGTTTTCAGACTATCGCAATGTAGTCAATGAATATTATACCATGCCCATTCCAAAATATTGATACTATAATCTTGCCAGCCGACTGTTGCTTCTTTGTACGCTTTGGAACTGGTTCACCATGTGCAGTCCACTCATATGACGATCGTTTTGATTCTGGTATGAAATAATAGAGCTATGTTTCATCCATTATAGTTAGTTTTTCCTATATTTTGAATTTGATGTGTCTAAACGTACTACATTTGTTGTCTTGTCAACTTATGGACTACTGTATTATGAAGACTAATAAATTCTTATCTATTGTCAAATATCGACGCATAAATTCGGGTTTTTAATGGTGCAACAGCTTCAGACACTGCTCAAAATCAGCAATTTGTTGTTATTTTTGGTCGATTGTAGGTTGCGCGGCAACCTGCACCAAAGGTTCCAAACAGTGCATCATAAGTACTTTGAACAGAGCTTTCGTATACCCAAATAATCATGAATGATATGTCTAACAAGTTCCTTTGATATCTTTAGAGCCTAAGCTATCTCGATCAACTCCACTTTGCGGTCATCCAAAATTATTTTGTGGACTTTTTTGATGTTTTTGTCGGTATAAGCCTCTTTAGGGCGTCCACCGTATACATCGTCCTCTGTGCTCATTTCACCTCGTTTAAACTTAGCAAACCACTTCTCAACGGTTTATTTCACTAGTGCGAAGTCCGAAAAATGTTTAGCAAGCCAATCCTTGGCTGCAATAGTGTTTTTTTTTTCACCAAAAAGCAAAGCTTTATCAACACATGAAATTCCTTTTTGGGCATTTTCTTCAAACTAACAAAATGTTCTATCCCACAAACTAATAGTCCAACAGCTGGGAAATTCGTATATGTGTCTTTTGAAGGTTAGGGTTAACTAAAAAATCATAGATTTAATACTAGTAGCGTCATCTGTGTGTATTATTACGGTGTATTAGCCACTGTCTTAAAAAAACTCCTGTAATGTGGAGGAATTTTTATTAATTAAGAATTACTCATAGAAGATTCGAAATATCTCAAACACACTACATGTTGGCAATGAGATGAACAGAGTTGACTGAAAAGACACAAACTGCTTTGAAATATAAACCAAACTTTTTCTGTGTTCGTAAAATTTGATTAATATTCTTTTCCAAGGGTTACTTGCACAACCAGTCAATTACCGGAAAATTATCATGGGTAGGTCCTGGTCCTTTTCATGGATTTCCATACATACCTACCCATCCAACTCAATGTCAGCTTGGACAACTCACCATGCAGGGTATGTATATCCTAATTCTTGAAAATAAGTAGAGCTTTCTTGGGGAAAATGTGTGTTGTGCTATGATGTTTTGTAAAACTTAATTCATCTATTGAAAATTACTTTAATCGTGACACGAAATTATGAGTTGTTTTCTCAGCGACCCTTGAAATTGGATGAAACACGTTTTGGTTATCAAGCTTCCCTTGTCAACATGGTATTGGATACTTGACCCAGGTACCTTTTTTCAAAGAAACTCAAATGTAGATTCACTATTCCTATCATTTTTAACTTATTGAGGCATTCTTCTACTATTTGGTAGCTCCATTCTATCTTGATTCGCCTTCTCCTGCCAAGACATAAACTATATATGTTTGTATAAGAAAAGATACAGATAGTATTAGAACTCTTATTCAATGTAAGATTTGAATATATTAATTTTTTAAATTGTTTTCATCGAGGAGAGTCGTTTTTGGCAGTTTGCTACTGGATTCTTCCAATTTCTCCGCACACAAAATACAGTCGCATAGGTTCCTAGACAGGTTGTTATCTCTGTCCTGGGTCTGCGACTGAAAATACCGGAACCGGAAGGTGTTTTTGATCTATCTGTGAACCAACAACTATCTGCTCTTAATATTTCCTTCTCCCGCAGAATCAAGTCCTCTCTACTCGGGAACAGTAGTTTATAAGGCAGTTCGTAGTTGACAGGTTATTTCCAGAAGGTGGGAGTAGGTTGCACAGTTTTGGACCATAATAGAATGCAGATCTTTGTGTATATCTTTTCTTGTAGAGTGTTATTTCAAGTCTCAACTGTTCTAGTTCTTACTGTTGTATGAGTTACATAGTTATTAAAGTTAGGAAACATCCATACTGATATTCGTACCTATATAATGATCTTACCTTAGGTATATTAGTCTCTTGATATAGAGCAGGGGTCTCCAAACTTTGAAGCCTTCGGGCCATAATGATTTTTTCAGTTTGTTCCAAGGGCCAATTTCTGCCCTTAACTATATTTCTAGACTAGGATAGTCGCAAAGTGCGTGACCTAAGCAAACTTACGCTTTTTTTGCATTTCAATTATTATTGTGTATTGTGACACTTAACGACATCTAGT